AATATTGGCTAGCGAAGAAGAGATTTGAAAAACCATGAAGGTGCAAGTAAACTTTTCTCCTATTTCCATGGTGGAGGGGTGGGGTGGGGAGTTTGTTTTTTTTTTTTCTCTTTTCCGTTTCCGTTTCCTCTTTTCTTTCTCTTTCTTCGTCCTTTTTTTTCTTTCTTTCTTTTTCTTTAGAACATTTTTTAAATGGAAAGAGAGTGAGGAAAAAGAAAAAAAAAAAGAAAAAGAAATAAAAGGAGGGTTGGTAACGGTATCGTCATCGAAGTGCCGTGAAAATGGAAGCTTTCATGTATGCCATGCAAATTTTCTAACGTTGAGATTCTACGAGCCATTAGGTGATTTCTTTTACGTGATTATTATACTACGGAGAATTTGTTTCCCCCCCCCCTCTCCTTTTTTATCCCTGATATTTTTTCTTTCTTTCTTTCTAACTATTTTTCTCTTTTATTCTTTTTTTTTTATTTCTTTTCTTAAAATCGATTATTATATCTTTCCTATTTAATGTTTTTTACGTTTGGAAAACATTAACGGGATTTTGTTAGATTATTAATAGACACTTATGTTAGATTTTTAGATTTAGGGTTATTTTGGTAACATTTTATTTCGATTGTTTAATGGTTTAAATTGTTAAATTTTGTAATTAACGTAGCAATCATTTTGTTTAAACGATGTATTACTATACTGAATTTCAATTAAAATTCGTACTTTCAATTAATTTCATTCCTTGGATATTTTATACAATTCCCGACCTCGTCTCGGGTATTCTATAAAATTTAGGAAAAAAAATCGTGGTTTAGGTAACGCGTGTTGTTTAAAAGTGAAAAAAGAAAAAAAGGTTTAGTGTCAGTCATCGATTACTGACGTGGGTTGCATTTAACGTGTTAACGCTTAACAAGATTTAGTTAAAGTTATTGCACGAGATTACGCTTGGAAGGATAAAGGGGGGGAAAGGGATGGAGTGTATGTATGTGTATGTGTGTATATGTGTGTGATAAGGGATTTTAGGTGTGAAATATGCAACTTGTGTTTTGTATCTCGACAAAAATATAGCAGGAAAAGTAATAAAAAAATTATTATAAACATACATACATATATATATATATATATATATATAAAACTATTTTCGTGTTGTTCATGTTGTGTTCTCGTAGTCACGTTTTCCTCACTTGTTTAAATTTTAAACAATTGAGGTATAGGTGATACGTTTAAGAAACGTGACAAATATATTTAATCGTTTAAGTCGTTCGATCGTTGTCAGAATTGTTAGTTGAAACATTTAACATGACAATTTTCGTGTGTATCGAGCACTCGAGTCTCTACTAGTTCTATTTATATAGATATACGTGTATAGATACATATGTATAATACGTAAACACATATGTAGAGAGGTATATATAGAGGGAGACATCATATACCATCAGTTTAACCGATAGAAGTGCTCCTTTATTACGTTTGCCTTTACCTACCTATGTGTGTTCTTGTTTCCATGAATTCTCTATTCTCTCAATCGTATTCTACACCATAAAATACTATAATATCTTATAAATATATATATATGTCTGTATGTGTATAGATAGATAGATAGATTGATATGTTTATTGTTTTATATAATTTATTAATTAAGTAAATATATACTTTGGATTATATTTTAATTGAAATTACTCTTTAGAAATTAGAGATTGGATTTGGGTTTAAATTCTTGCGTTTATAATTTAGACATTATTAGAAATTCCATAATATCTCATAATATTCCATATATATATATGTATACACGTTTAAATTTGGTGTACATGCATATATTGTAATAGATTATTAAATATGAACTGTTTTTAATTAGCAAATAATGTTAAATAAAATTATACGAAGAAATGTAATAACAAATATAGATAATAATTACGTGTAATCTATATATAATAATTAGAACACGCAACAATATTTTTTGTCTTAATGATTTTTTTTTTTTCTTTCAGATATTACGCCATAGTACATCCGATGAGAGCACAATACACGTGTACCATAAGCCAAGCAAGAAAAATTGTAATAATCACGTGGGCTGCGTCATTTCTTTTAGGTATACCAATGGTATTCACTCAGGTAAATATTTGTCGTTGTAATAGATTCGAAAATTTGATTTTTATCTTTTTCGCGTGTAATCTCGTTTAAAATATTTTATCATTTTATATACTCCGGTGATCATGTAATATTTTTCAAAGTTTATGGATAAAAGACAAAAAAAAAGAAAGAAAACCAAAATAACAAAATTACTATAGTTATGGCATAGAATAATTTTAGTTTTAAACAATAGATTAATATCACATTTATATATATATATAATGGAAATA